GAGAGAGAGAGAGAGAGAGAGAGAGAGAGAGAGAGAAGTGGAATGGACAAGGATGTGGGGAAATATTCCTTTTGTATAGAGGTCACAGGCTGAATTTATCTGTGGGCCTGACTTATTTGGCCTGAAATGCTAAACTGTGAATTAGTTGCCAATTACTTAAAAATCGAGAACCCCAAACCCACCCCCACCAAGTAGATTTTATGGGAGCCAGAAGCCTCATCTCTCCCCAAAAGATCCGCTGGTGGGTTTGAACCCCTGATCTGGAAGTTCTCAATCCAATGCTTACCCGACAGCGCCACAAGGGGACAGCACACTAGAATTTAGAATGACTTTTTAAAAAACGATTGATAAACCTCCCAGGATGGCAGTATGGCCAACCTGCTGGTGGCAGATGTGGGGTAGCTCAGGGTATGGACCCTCTAGTTCTTCCCATTTCCCAGAACCTGACCTGGGTGGGGGCACTCCTTGACACTAGGCACTTGCACTTGCGACCTTCCAGAAATCAGTGGCTTTTAGGGAAACGGAGGTTTTTAAAAGTGTATCATCTCTGGAGCCACGTGGGTCTGGGTTGGAATCTTGGCTCTCCCACTTCTGTGGACACTTGATCTCGGGCAAGTTACTTCCCCTCCTTGTGTCCAGGGTTCCTCCCTGGCTGGCATGATTTTCTAAAGGGGATGTGTCTGAGGCTCTTTGCTTGGCAATAGGAAGTACTCAGTTAATGACCTCTTCGGGTGGCGGGGCAGTGACCACAATGATGGTATTCGTATCTCCTTCCTTCCTTCCTTCCGTCTCAGCAGCATGTCGTGGTTCAGTGGCCTCCTGGTCCCCAAAGTGGATGAACGGAAAACCGCCTGGGGTGAACGCAACGGGCAAAAGCGTGCACGCCGTGGGATGCGCCCCAGTGGCTTCTGCACACCCCGCTACATGAGCTGCCTCCGGGACGCCGCCGAGCCGCCGAGCCCCACGCCCGCAGCCTCCCCTCGGTGCCCCTGGCAGGATGAAGGCTTCATCCGCAGGGGGTGCCCAGGCAAGGGCACAGAACTGGGGCTGCGCGCCGTGGCCCTGGGCTTCGAGGACATGGAGGCAGTGGCAGCGGCGGCCGAGGCCGTGCCCGAGCTGGTGCCGGGAAGCGCGCGGTCCTGCTGGCGCCGCCTGGCGCAGGTGTTCCAGTCGAAGCAGTTCCGTTCCGCCAAGCTGGAGCGCCTGTATCAGCGGTACTTCTTCCAGATGAACCAGAGCAGCCTGACGCTGCTCATGGCCGTGCTGGTGCTGCTCATGGCCGTGCTGCTGGCCTTCCACGCCGCGCCTGCCGGCCCACGGCCGGCCTACGTGGCCCTGCTGGCTTGCGCTGCCACCCTCTTCGTGGCGCTCATGGTGGTTTGCAACCGACAGAGTTTCCGCCAGGACTCAATGTGGGTGGTGAGCTACGTGGTGCTGGGCATCCTGGCCGCCGTGCAGGTTGGAGGGGCCCTGGCAGCCACCCCTCACAGCCCCTCGGTTGGCCTCTGGTGCCCTGTGTTCTTTGTCTACATCACGTACACGCTCCTCCCCATCCGCATGCGTGCAGCCGTCTTCAGCGGCCTGGGCCTCTCCACCCTGCACTTGATCTTGGCCTGGCAGCTCAACCGTGGAGATGCCTTCCTCTGGAAGCAGGTACTTGGTGAGGGGGGTAGGCCTGGGGAGCAAAACGCATAGCTATGGAGTAGTTACGTGGGTGTGGGTCTTGAGTGGAGACTGGGTTTGGGGTGTCTAGTGATAGCCGATAGGGACCCCTGGGGACTCTGTGGGTTAGTCAGCACCTGTGACTGAAAGTTTGGAAGTTCAAACCCCTCAGCCACTCTGCAGGAGAAAGAAGAGGCCGTCTGCTCCCATTTAAAAAAAAAAAAAGTACAGTCTTAGAAAGTCTCCATAGGGCTGCTACAAGTCAGGAGGAGTCCGTGGCCGGGGAGTGGGTGATGTAGGTATACCTGGGAGGAGTATGGAGAGCTGGAGGTCCAGGTTTAGGGATCGGCCTCCATTCGGGTCCCCGGGGCAGCGGGTCCTGCAGAAGGAAGGAAGGAATTCAGCTACGAGGACGCAGGCCTGATCTTGAGGTGACACTGCAGGCAGTCTCCAGTTAATACGCTTGAGGCCTCCAAACTCGTGCAACCAATAGAGAGGCGATGGGAGGTTGGGTGCGGTGCCCCTGGTGCTTCCCCTTTGGGACGTCCAAGGGCAGACCAGGCTGTGGCCAGACGTGGGCATCTCTGGCCTCTGGTGACACCTGAGACTGAGGCCCTGGTGCAATCCCTGAAGAGCACCTTGAGGCGGTGATCCCGGAGGGTTCGGGCAGTCTTTGGGAGGGCAGCGTGTCCCTCGCCTGGCCCACAGCCACCTCTGAGAGGACAGGGAAGGTGAAGAGTTGGGGCACTTCTCTCCCACGGCTGGCCTGTAAAAGAGAGGGAGCGTTGAGGATCTGATCTCTAACCTGCCCCTCTCATCCTGGGCAAGGGGAGCCTGGCAGCCTGGCCCGGAAGTTCTTTGCCCAAACCGGTACTGCCTTGGGGCTCTCTTTGATGTGTGCTTGGCCTTCCAAGAGGCTTCAGTCTCTGCTGTGGCATCTCACACAGCTCGCCTCACCTCTCCCTCTCGAGCCGTGACATGGGATAAGAGTCGTTTCTCCCTCGAGATGCCACAGTTAGGGTCCCACCCTTCCCTAGAATGGTGTGGAAGACCAAGGGGCAGCATTCTTACCAGGGGCCAGGGAGTGTGGCTGGGCATGTGCCCCGTGAGGGGGCTTTTGGGAGGAGACTGCCTTCTCAGTAGGGGAGGTCGTACATGGGCCGGGTGCCACCGGCCAGTGCAGGGAGCCGGAACCAGGGTGTCCTCCCCAGCCGGCCCTTCTGAAGTTGCTATAGACACAGTTCCCTCACCAGCACACCTCACCCCCCTGGAGTTAAAGGGGGTGGCCTCTGCCTTCCCAGGTTTTGGGAGAGCCTTGCCCAGGGCTCAGTCTGTAGCCCACCAGAGCCCCCACCACAAAGAGGAAGTTTCCTGGCCTGGGCTCCGAAGGTGAGAAGCTGGGTGGCCTGGCATGTCTCTCTCCCCACCTGCCCTGTGCTCAGCTCACTGGGGAACAGACACGGGACCTTTTTAAAAGTAACTTTATAGCCCGATTGTTTGTGGAGCACGTGCCTGTGGGGCACTGACAGGTCTCTTAAAGGGCAGGTTCTTCTGCTTTCACTAGCTTCCAGCTCCTTTTTCAGGTTAGCTCTCCAGCTGGGCTTGGTAGCTGGACTGCCTTCTTGGGTGCCTTCCCTCCCCCTTCCTCTAGCCTGCCAGGGGGCAGGTGGGTGTCCTGTCCCTGTTCATGGCTGGCATGGTGCCCAGGGCCAGGCCAGCGCCTGATTGGGGAGGTGCAGCCCACAGAGGCCAGGACCGTTCCAGGTACCCGCCTCCCCAGGGGCACCTGTCTACAGCCTCACCCTCTGGGTCCCAGCAAGCACATTCTTGGGGTTAAGTTCCTCTTCCGTGCCAGTCCCTGAGCACCATGCCCCCTGCTGCGCTGAGAACAATTCCCAGTACCCAGGTGGGCCTGTGGGTTTCTGGGTGGAGAGGAGACTGGGCTGGCGCTCTCCTGATCCAGACCCCTCTTCACTCCGCTCCAGGAAGCAGCCTTCCTCCTCCTCTGACACACCCTCTCAGACACTGAGCGGACTCACCCAGTGACCCAGGCTCAGCCAGGAGTCCCCCCCAGTCCCCTGGCGTCCATTTTTTCTCACAGTCAGATAGGGGTGTGTGTGTACAGAGTTATTTCAGTCTTTCATCCCCCTTCCCCTTCCCCCTGCTGTGACTCACATTTTCCTCTTGGGCTCCTGGGGCCAGGAAGGGAAGTTGCCTGGTTTGCCCCCCCTTCCCTTCTCCCCCACTGGGGGCTATTCTTAGAAACCCCCGAGGGAAGGGAGAGAGTGTGCCCCCCTCATCACCCCTGTGCAGTTAGGGGGAAGGGCAGGGGACCTCAGCCTAGTTGGTTTGGGCCTTGGGAACCGGCCTGGCATGGGAAGTTGGGAGGCAATCCTAGAGGTCAGGCCTGGAGGAGGCTAGGGGCTTAGCAGACCCCACTCTCCAAGTTCCCCTGAGAGGACCCTGAGGCCCTCGGAAGCAAGTGAGCCAGCCAAGTGTGCCCAACTAGCTCTGGTTCCGGGAAGAGCCCAGAACTCCTGGCTTCCAGTTGGTGCTCTTTCCCTCCCTACTAGAACCAGAGCCCTGCCCCAGCCAAGTCTGGGGTGGAGCCCAGAGTGCCACGTTAACCCCTGCCTTCCCGAAAACACTCTGAGACCTGATCCTAAGCCCATTTGATGGGTGATGATTAGGGGTGGGGACAGAGGGTCTGGGCGACCCTAGGATGAAGGCTCCAAGGGGTGGGGACTGGAAGCTCGAGGCATGTCCTGGTGGTTCTCCATCTCCAGCTGGACAGCGTGCTTGGTGTCAGGATGGATGACCCCCAGCCTGGGCCCTGGGTCTGCAGAGGTCTGAGTGAAGAGCGTGCCGTGTGTAGGGACCCTGGAGACTTGGAGCGAACTGGACAGTAGGGCTTAGACTCAGGCTTTGGAATCTAACTGTTCTGGACACAAATTCCCCACCGGATACGTGGAGCTGTATGATTTTCGGCGAGTTACTCACCCTCTCTGCCCGGGCCCCTGCCTTTAAAATGGAATCTGATCACTTGACTCATAGATTGTCAGAAATGCATGGCAGGTGCCCCTGTCCAATCCTGTAACCCCATTAGCAGTCCACTAAACCAGTCACAATGATGTGATCGTGATCAGAATACTAGTGATCACGATTCTTGCCCATTATATCAGTGTGGGGAGGAGCCTAAGAGTTTTCAGTCACCGCCCCACCCCCACCCCCAGTGCAGGGCATAGAGGGGCAGATGACGCCCAGGGAGATGTGGCCACTTGTCTGGGTCACTCACAGGAGTACAGCTCAGGGTCTCCTGAGTGTTGACCTGCAAGGACAGTCACATGCAGAAGGGGCCACGTTTGCCTTTTGTTTGGGATGTTTTCAAGGCCGGGCCCTTGGGGCTCTGGGGCGCCTGGTCCCAGGAGCTTTGAAAGGATCTCATTTCTCGCTATGGCTGTGTGCTGGGCAGGGGTGGTAGTCCTGTGAGGAGAGGGGGGCTTGAACTGCAGGCCCCTGGCTTCTCCTCCCCAAAGGAGCTTCCAAGGAGGCGTTGGAGTGGGTGGGTGGGAGGGTATCGGGAAGGTAGTCACCACCCCTGCCTCCGCCACCATCCCGCAGCTCGGTGCCAATGTGCTGCTGTTCCTGTGCACCAATGTCGTGGGCATCTGCACACACTACCCGGCCGAGGTGTCTCAGCGCCAGGCCTTCCAGGAGACCCGTGGCTACATCCAGGCCCGCCTGCACCTGCAGCACGAGAATCGGCAGCAGGTACTACTGCTTACACCCCCTCTCCCCCCAGCCAGGGCCTCCCTGGGCCTGGCCCGCCCACCAGCTCCCCGGCACAGATTTGCTGCTGTCCAGTTTGTGGGAGCCCCATGTGCCCATCTCCTGGGCTGTTTATCAGTGGTCCTGTTAACATGGGGCATCTGTCCTGCCCAAGGGGGCAGAGCTGGGCTATATATCCGCTGAGGGTAGGGGCAGGCAACTGTTCGGAAGAGATGCTCAGGCTCTCAGAAAGGTCCAGGAGGTCCCTAAGGATGTGAGGGACACAAGGGTTGGGATGTGGGGCAGTGGAGAGCAGTGCCCTGACGGAGCCACTGGTCTAGGAGCGGCTGCTGCTGTCCGTATTGCCCCAGCACGTTGCCATGGAGATGAAAGAGGACATCAACACAAAAAAGGAAGACATGATGTTCCACAAGATCTACATCCAGAAGCATGACAATGTCAGGTAGGGTGGCCATGGGAGGGCCAGGAGGGGTGCAGGGACTGGGCATCTTTACAGGCACATGGCTCCTCCATCCTCTTGTCACCCCCAGCATCCTGTTTGCCGACATCGAAGGCTTCACCAGTCTGGCCTCCCAGTGCACTGCACAGGAGCTGGTCATGACCCTGAACGAGCTTTTTGCACGCTTCGACAAGCTTGCAGCGGTGAGGGTGCCGGGACTGACAGGAGTCTGCAGGGAAGCGGGTGGGCTAGGCAGCCTGGGGGAGGGGGCAAGACCAGAGGTGGTCCCTCCCTCCAACTCTCATCCCCACTCAGGAAAACCACTGCCTGAGGATCAAGATCTTGGGAGACTGCTACTACTGCGTGTCAGGGCTGCCAGAGGCCCGGGCTGACCATGCCCACTGCTGCGTGGAGATGGGGGTGGACATGATCGAGGCCATCTCGTAAGCAGCACCCCACTGCCAGGCTTCCTGCACTGTGGGGGCCCTGGGCTCCTGCACCCCTCCGCCCTCTGTCGCCAAGACCCTTCACTGGGCAGAGGCATGGCCTCTTCTCTGGGGACATTCTCAGGCCGCTGCCCTCCAGCCTGTGCAGGCCCATGTGCACACGCAGACCCTGGCCAGGGTGGGGGTGGGGGAGGATCTGGACCCTCAGAGGATGCACACTGGGCTGGGCTGAGGTGACACCTCTCGAGAGCAAGTGCCCCAAGATGCTGCATGGCCCCTGCTGGCAAACGCAGCTCTCAGACCTCATCCTTGAGCCTCATGCGCACCTATTCAGCCAGGGCTGAGTTCCTGCCCCTGCCCCTGGGCTCCCCATCTTACTGGCTGGATCAGCCCCGAGAGGAGTAAGGTGGGAGTCTGGCAGGCTGTGTCAGGAGCTGAGCCGGAGCCTCTTCCTCCCAGGCTGGTGCGGGAAGTGACCGGCGTGAATGTGAACATGCGTGTCGGCATCCACAGTGGGCGTGTGCACTGCGGGGTCCTGGGCCTGCGGAAATGGCAGTTCGATGTGTGGTCCAATGATGTGACTCTGGCCAACCACATGGAGGCAGGGGGCCGGGCTGGGTGCGTGAAGCGAGTCCAGGCAGCGGTGGGGGGCGGACGGATGGGAGGGGAGGTAGGGGCGGGAAGCAGGGTCTCACCCTCCATCCCCACACAGCCGCATCCACATCACCCGGGCCACACTGCAGTACCTGAATGGGGACTATGAGGTGGAGCTGGGCCGAGGCGGGGAGCGCAACGCATACCTCAAGGAGCAGCACATTGAGACCTTCCTCATCCTGGGCGCCAGCCAAAAGCGGGTCAGGGCCTGGGCAGGACGGGGCGGGCCTCGGGGAGCTGGAGGAGCAGGCGCAGGCCTTGCCGGGCCCTCTTCTGAGCCTGTGTCCACACTGCCTGCACAGAAAGAGGAGAAGGCCATGCTGGCCAAGCTGCAGCGGACAAGGGCCAACTCCATGGAGGGGCTGATCCCACGTTGGGTGCCCGACCGCCTTTCCCGCACCAAGGACTCCAAGGCTTTCCGGCAGATGGTGAGACCAGGGGATGGGGCACCTCCATCGGCACTTCGCCTCTCCCTGTTCAGTCTGCCTGTTGAGGCTGCGCGCAGGGCTCCCTGGCATGGATGGTGATGATTTCACCCAAAGGGCCCCTTGCTCGCCCTCCCCTGAGGATGCAGTGGGGAATTCCTTAGCACACATAGTGTCAGGGCTGGAGGGAGGGGCCGTGGATGGTGGTGGCCTGCCCCTCACCTCACTCTTGCACTCTCTCTCTCTCTCTAGGGTATTGATGATTCCAGCAAAGACAAGTGAGTCTGGGTTTGGAGCAGGGGGGACAGGCAGGAGAGAAGGTCCTTGCCCCCTGGGATTGGGCTGTGGGGAGCTCAAGGGTAGTCTGGGAGCTGGTGCCACCGCCCGCCTCACACTCCAGGGGCATTGCATGGGCCCTTGCCCGCCCCCATCCCTGCCCCCGATGGGCAATGCTCCTGCACTCCATGGTGAGCCATATCCCCTGCCATCAGCCGGGGCGCCCAGGATGCCCTGAACCCCGAGGATGAGGTGGACGAGTTCCTGGGCCGGGCCATTGACGCGCGCAGCATTGACCAACTCCGCAAGGACCACGTGCGCCGCTTCCTGCTCACTTTCCAGAGAGAGGACCTGGAGAAGAAGGTGTGGGCCCACCACGGCAGCCGGACAGCTGGGGACAGGGCGGGTCCAGGCAGGGACCTCTGCGCACTGGTGACACAGTAGGAGAGGGCTTTGGGGGATGCCAAGGGGACCACGGGCAGAGCCAGGGTAATGGTGGATCAATATTAATTGGACCACCTGCTCCTCCTCCCCATCGAGGCCCTGGTAGTGTGTAGCCAGTCCCCTGCCTCCCCGCCTCCCCCAGGGCTGGCCCAGCCTCCCCCACCCTGCCCCCTGCTCAGCCTCCTCTCCTTCAGTACTCAAGAAAGGTGGACCCTCGCTTCGGAGCCTACGTGGCCTGTGCCCTGCTGGTCTTCTGCTTCATTTGCTTCATCCAGCTCCTCGTCTTCCCACGGTGAGAGCCCTGCCCCTCCAGAACGTGCTCGGGTGCCCACGTGCCGGCCCTGTAGCCTGAGGGTGAGTCAGGGGCCCTGCAGACTCACGCTGCCCCTGCCGGCCGGCCTGCCCTGTCTCCCCAGTTCCCGCCTGATGCTCGGCGTCTCTGCGGGTACCTTTGTGCTGCTGCTAGTCACCGTGCTGATCTGTGCTGTGTACTCCTGTGGCTCGGTAGGCAGGCTCTGGTGGGGTCGGGAGAGGGAAGAGGAGACCCTGCCCCTGCCGGCCTCCGCCCTCGCCTGCTGGGGCTACTCCAACTCTGGTCTCTTGCCCACCTCCAGCTGTTCCCTAAGGCCCTGCAACGTCTGTCCCGCAGCATCGTCCGCTCGCGGGCACACAGCACGGCTGTCGGCATCTTCTCCGTCCTGCTCGTCTTCACCTCTGCCATCGCCAACATGGTAAAGTCGAGTGGGACATGCCTCACCTCTGCACTGGTCAAGCACTGCTCTGGGCACTGGGGGTGGGGGGTGGGGGTGGAAAAGAGCCCACTGTCTGGAAGAAGGGGGGTAGGGTTACTTTTCCCACTGCCCTTCCCCTGCCTTCTCCCCTTCACTTCGGATGCCTCAGTGAGAACTTTACCCCTGGGGGATAAGGCCCTGGGCGTGGCCCTCAAGACCCTTAGCCTCCTCAGGAACCTTGAAACGTGCCCCTCCCCCCCACTTTTACAGTTCACATGTAACCACACCCCCATCCGGACCTGCGCAGCCCAGATGTTAAACTTAACTCCTGCCGATATCACCGCCTGCCACCTGCAGCAGCTCAATTACTCCCTGGGCCTGGATGCTCCCCTGTGTGAGGGCACCGCACCCACCTGCAGCTTCCCTGAGGTGTCCGTCCAAGCAGTGCTCAGGCGGGGGGGGGGGGAAGGTCCTCACTGGTACCAGCTATGGACCCCTCCAGGCCAGGCTGTGACAGGGCCCAGGGACTCATGAGCTCACCAGAGTCCCCAACGCCATCAGTATCCCAGGAGCCTGGTGTAGTGCAGGGACTGGGCGTGGAGGGGTAAGGATGGTGGGGTCTGAGGGTTGTGGTGGGGAGTGCAGGCTTCCTAGGGCATCATGGTCTCAGCTTTCACCTAATGCTGCCTGCCCCATGGTCCCTCCCTGCAGTACTTCCTGGGCAACATGCTACTGAGCCTGCTGGCCAGCTCTGTCTTCCTACACATCAGCAGCATCGGGAAGTTGGCCATGACCCTTGTCCTGGGGTTCATTTATTTGGTGCTGCTTCTGCTGGGTCCTCCGGCCACCGTCTTTGACAACTATGATCTGCTGCTTGGCGTCCACGGCTTGTGAGTCTTCTCTCAGCCCCTGTGGGCCTCCAGGAACCCCTTGCCCCTGCCAGTCACTGAGAGCCTCTCTGGGGCCCAGGCCCGCGACTCATGCCATGCTACTGCCCATCCCAGGTCCCTTGCCCTGGACCTTCCCCTTGAGGGAGATGCAGGTGCTCCCAGTGTATGACCCCACACAGTCACCCCAAGGAGATCCCAATCCTGGAAAATGCCTGTTATTTTAGGCCAGCGGTTCTCAACCCATGAGTTGCGACCCTGCTGAGGGTCAAACGACCGTTTCACAGGGGTCAGCCGATTCATGACAGTAGCAAAATTACAGTTCTGAAGTAGCGACGAAAATAATGTTATGGTTGGGGGGGGGGCTCACCACGACATGAGGAACTGTATGAAAGGGTCGCCGCGGCATGAGGAAGGTGGAGAACAGCTGATTTAGATTCACTCACGGCTAGCAGCCCAGCGCATAACTGTTCCACCAGGGCTCCCTGTGTTTCCAGACTAGACACTGAGCGCCCCTGCACTCACAGCACCCATGTGACCACCTGTACATCACACGGCTGCTGGGTGGTAGTGGTGTGGAGGGGGGGCAGGGGGAGGGGGAAAACCAAAACATCTGACTCCTGCTTGAGGTCTTTTCCTGGGGCAGCACATGAGCTTTTTCCTTCAAACCCACCCATCGTGATGCAGTGGGTTAGCTACTGGGCTGCCAAGCACAGGGTTAGCAGTTCAAATCTCCCAGCCGTGCCTCGGGAGAGAGGTTCGCTGTCTGCTCCCATGAAGGTGGACAGTCTCGGAAGCCCTATGGAGTGGTCACTCTCTGCCCCGGGATTCGGTGTGTCGTAGTCGACTCAGCTGTGGTGGGCTTTTACAGCTTGATGTGGTAGAAAAGGCCTGTGGAGCCGGGTCCCCTGGGCTTGAATTGCTGCTTGGCCTCTCATGGGCTATGTGACCTTGGATAGGAGAGGTAACCTCTCTGAGCTTCCATTTCCGCATCTGTAAAATGGCAAGGCCAGCCCTGGCACGGGGTAGCTCTAGAGAGTGCTGTAACTCACACTGATCAAAGCCCCTCCCGTTGGCCTGACTCCCGTGTTTCTGGCTGGGGAAGCTGAGCCTTAAGAGAGTGAAGCAACTTGACCAAGGTCACAGGGCTTGTAAGTACAGGAGCCAGCAGTAACCTTCCCCTAACCTTTGTTTGACGAGTTTGAGGGCTGGCCTGATGCCTTCCATGTGGCACATGCTTGGTTCGTGTGGTCTCTGTCACCCGCTGTGCCCTACCCAGTGATACAGCAAACACTGATGGCGTTGCTCTCGTGTCTCTTTGCCAGGGCTTCCTCCAATGGGACCTTCGATGGGCTGGACTGGTGAGTGAGGCTCCGGGGCAGCGAGGGCAGCCACCTGCCTCCTTCCGACGCTGAGCATGCCTCTGCTTCCCCTCAGCCCGGCTCCGGGGAGGGTGGCCCTCAAGTATATGACCCCGGTGATCCTGCTGGTGTTTGCCCTGGCGCTGTATCTGCATGCCCAGCAGGTGGAGTCCACTGCCCGCCTGGATTTCCTCTGGAAGCTGCAGGTGACTGGGCGGGCCCACAGCTGAGTGAGGGTGGGCCTGAGAGCAGCTTCCATTCCAAGTCTGGGTGATGTTGGAAGCACCCCTCTGGTTCTCTGGTCACCCCAAGCCCACCCTGGCTCCCTGCCGGTGTCTTCTCTGCTCATCCCAAAGCCCCTGCCCTGGACCTCCCTCCCCATCCCTCAGTCCCCATGCTTCACCCTCTGCCTGTGCTGTGGGCCTCCCTTCCTCCCCATGGCTCCCTCGGGTGCCCTGCCCAGGCCATGCATCTGCCCCTCCAGAGCATTGGGCAATAGGTGATGGGCAGGGTGCCCGCAGGCAACCGGGGAGAAGGAGGAGATGGAGGAACTCCAGGCCTACAACCGGCGGCTGCTGCACAACATCCTGCCCAAGGACGTGGCCGCCCACTTCCTGGCCCGCGAGCGCCGGAATGATGAGCTCTACTACCAGTCGTGCGAGTGCGTGGCCGTGATGTTCGCCTCCATCGCCAACTTCTCCGAGTTCTACGTGGAGCTCGAGGCCAACAACGAGGGCGTCGAGTGCCTGCGGCTGCTCAACGAGATCATCGCCGACTTCGACGAGGTGCCTTCTCCCGTTGCCCAGACAAGCTTGGGGCCTGGGTGGAGTAGGGTGGGGCGGGGGCTTTGGCGAGAAGGCCAAGATCGTAGGGTGTGTGTGTGTGCAGCACTGGAAGGAAGGAGGGAGACTGGATGAGACCCATGGGTTGTCAGGAAGGGAAGCCAGGGTGGGAACAGCGGAGGCACAGCGGGAGGACAGGGCCCCCAGGAAGATGACACAGGTGGTTGGGGGGGGTCATCCCTGGCTGGGCAGGGGGCTCCCTGTGATGGAAGGGGATGGTGGAGGACATTAGAATCTGTGGGAAGAGACCAGCAAGCATGATGGTCCCCTGGATAGGAAGCGGAGGCCAAACTGGGGGAAGAGTTCTAGCTTCCGGGTGAGAAAGGGGCTGCTCTGGGTTTGAAGGGAAGTCGCTTCCTCTCTCGAGGACTCAGTGGCCCCACAGGCTAGCCTACTTAGTAGCTGCCTGGGCAGTGGCAGCTGTGCACACCCATTTGCTGACGCCATAGCCTGCGGGAGAAAGGCCTGGGTCTGCCTCGGACAAGATGGTTGTCACCAGTTGCCACTGAGCTAGTTGTGACTCCTGGCAACCCCATTTCTGTAGAGCAGAACTGCCCCAGAGGGTTCTCCAGGAGGAGACCCTTCAGAAAGGGACCACCAGGCCTGTCTTCCAAGATGCCTCTGAGCTGGCCATTGAGCACATAACCATGTGCACTCCCCCTCTTGCCCCCCCCCCCCCCAACGCACTGCAGTCTGTAGAGGCGGCAGCCAGGAAAATAGCATGCTGGGGAGCAGCTCTGCTCTGTGTCACTTGCAGTTGCTCTGCATTCCAATAGGCTTGGTGTCCTTTTTGAGACTCTGGGTCCTGAGAAGGAGCAGTTGAAGTTGACCTAGAGCTCTCTGCCCAAGTCCCAGCCTGGGTCCTTGATGGCCACCTGGTAGAGGAGACCTCTTTCTCCGGCTCCTCAGTCCTACACTGAGAGTCACAGCTGGAAGAGGACTCGGTCACATGAGCTCACCGCCATCGAGTTGATTCCAACTCGTGTAGGACAGACAGAGTGGAACCATCTGTCCCTCTGGGCTTCCGAGGCTGTGAATCTCCACGGGAGCAGACAGCCTCATCCTCTTGCTTGGTGGCTCAGCCCATGACCCACTCTCCTACCGGGGCTCCTGGGCTCAGTTTTGAGGTGGGAGAAGGGCCAAGGCATGGGAGTGACTGAGGGTTGGGCCAGGGCTGGGCTTGGTCTCTATGCTATGACAGCGGGGTCTCCGGTGGTGTCCAGATCATCAGCGAGGAGCGGTTCCGGCAGCTGGAGAAGATCAAGACCATTGGCAGCACCTACATGGCAGCTTCCGGGCTGAACGCCAGCACCTACGACCAGGTGGGCCGCTCCCACGTCACGGCCCTGGCCGACTACGCCATGCGCCTGATGGCGCAGATGGAGCACATCAACGAGCACTCCTTCAACAACTTCCAGATGAAGATTGGTGAGTGGGCCGGCGCCCTTCCCAGGACGGTTTCTGGGTGGAGGCGAGGCTACAGGTGGGGGATGGGATGAGTGATTCTCTACCAGGTGCCTGGCAGGGGTGGGGGTGGGAGGTGTCTCCTCCCTCCTCCCTCCTGTGTCAAGTCAAGCCTGACATTCCAAACCTCAAGAACCAACTCACTGCCACTGGGTTGACTGTGACCCATGGTGACCCTGTCAGACAGGATAGATCTTCCTCTTTGAGGCTATGAGACTCGGAATTAGTGGTTCTCAGCCTTCATCTTGCTGCGACCCTTTCATACAGTTCCTCATGTGGTGGTGACCCCACCACCCCACCCAACCATAACATTATTTTCATTGCTACTTCATCACTGTCATTGTGCTACTGTTATGAATCGGGCGACCCCTGTGAAAGGGTCGTCCGACCCCCAGGTTGAGAACCTTGGCAGCAAATCTTCACAGGAGCAGACAACCATCTCTCCCCTGTGAAGTGACTGGGGGATTTGAATCACCGACGTTTCAGATAACTTTGTCTTAATGCATACCCCACTACACCTTGATGTTAAGAACTGAGCTCATTTTTCGAGTGCCTACTATGTGCTAGGCACTGCCCTGGACACTTTTTGAGCACCTATGAATCCTTGAATTGCTATCATCCCTGTTTATAGATTTGCAATGGGCCCAGTGTCAGCACAGTTAAGAGCTTGACTTAACAGAAGGTTGGTGGCTTGAAGCTCCCAGTGACCCTGCAGTGGGCCCCTGTAGATTCCAGCCTGGGACCCCCTCTGGGGTGGCTCTGCTCTGCCCTGGCGTGCGGCTCTGAGTCAGAGTCGACTCACTGGCACACAGCGGCACACAGCGACCACAACCAGAGATATGGGGGTTATCAGGGAGCGGCAAGTCACTACCTCAGCCAAGGTCAACTGGTCAGGCTTGGGGCTGAGATTCCAAACTAGGTTTGTCTGAACTCCAGGCCCTTATCTATGGCGGGTCTGATAAGATGAACTTCTTTTCAGACGACTCCAAAGCAGACCAAATTCACTGCCTTGGAGTGGATTCCGACTCAGAGCAGGCCCTATAGGACGGGGTAGCGTGGCCCCGGTGGGTTTCCGTACAAACTGTAACTGTTTATAGGAGCAGAAAGCTTCATTTTTTTCTCCTTTAGAGCAGCTGGTGGTTTTGAACTGCTGATAGTAGATAACAATATGAATAAGTTACGTACTACTAGTACCCACTGAAGCAGGCGATAGTAACAGGCACTACGGTGGAGCAGTTGATAATAGCATGGGTTCTGGAGTCCGAGAGTTGGGATTTAAATTTGGGCCATTCTATAACTGGCAAATTTAGTAAGCTGCCTACCGTTTCTCGGCTTCAGCTACGTTGTATCCAGCTACTCATCCAGTGAGCCCCTGGGTGGCCCAGACAGTTAAGCACTAGACCGGCTGGGAGGTTGGCCAGGAGAGAGGCCTCGCCGCCTGTTTCTGAAAGGCCACAGCCTTGTAAACCTTGGGGAGCAGTTTACGCTGCTCTCCCAGCGGCCCCGTGAGTCGGAAGGGACGGGACAGTCACGAACGACCACCACAGCCATCTGCAGAGTGGGGGTGATGGCACCCGTGTGGGGCTGAAGCCAGCCAGGCAAAGTGCTAGCCAGCCTGGAAGGCTGCAGGAGGGCCGCTGGGAGGTTAGCTCCTGAGCCATGGAGCCGGCCGGCCACAGGGGAGCTGCCCAGACCTTCCCTTTTTGACAACCAGGAAGCTGGCTGGCTCTTTTCTGCTGTCACCTCTGCCAGGTGGTGTGATGTGTCCCTGGACTGACCCTGATGCTGCCACCTGCTTGCGCTTTCCCTCCCTCAGGGCTGAACATGGGCCCAGTCGTGGCCGGCGTCATTGGTGCTCGGAAGCCACAGTATGACATCTGGGGGAACACGGTCAATGTCTCTAGCCGTATGGACAGCACGGGGGTCCCTGATCGAATCCAGGTGAGGGGGGATATGAGCAAGGCTGGGCCCCCTCTGCTGCCCTTGATAGTGGCAGGGACAGGGAGGCAGTGCTGGGTGGGGGTGGGGGGCCAGGGGGAACCCATGCCTAGAGAAACCCTCAGCCCCTGCAAACCCAATTGGCAGGAGCACAGGCCAAACAGGTCCCCTTTCCCAACCCCCAGGTGACCACGGACCTGTACCAGGTTTTAGCCTCCAAGGGCTATCAGCTGGAGTGCCGAGGGGTGGTCAAGGTGAAGGGCAAAGGGGAGATGACCACCTACTTCCTCAATGGGGGCCCAAGCAGTTAGCAGGGCCCGGCTGCAGACTCGGCAGAAGGGACCAAGGTGGGCATTGAGCAGGCTCTGTGCTTACTGGTGGAACCGCAGCAGGCAGGCTCCCCGCCAGCCACACAGGGGAAAGGCCAGCCAGCTGTGCTCGACCCATGCTCCTCTGCCTCAGCCTGGAGAATGAGGGACTAACTACCCAGAGGATTATGCAAGTGACTCTTTCTTTCTACTGGGCCACGGCTGTTCCGCTTCTCTCTCGCAGCTTTTGGGAGCAGAGGAGCAGGCGGCAGTGGAGGCAGGGGAAGCCCCTTCCTCTCTGAGAGACTGATTACAATGGCAGCTCACCAGGCCTGACCCTGCCTTGTCTGTCTGGGTGGCAGGCTCAGGGCTGGGCCCTCTCTCTCCCTCTTTTTTCTGGGAATATTTTGTATACAGACTGGGGCAGGCATGAGGAGTGCCTATTCCACGCTTGCCTTTGCTATGCCTGTATCCCCAGCTGGGTCTCCTCTTTCCTGGGCAGAGGAGGGGGACGCCCTGGGGACCCTGCTCTGCCCGTTATTTCAGAGGAATGTTTCCATTTGCCAAAACCCAGGTCAACAATCTGTCTCCAAAGGGGAACAAAGGGACTTGCGGCCACTACATGGCTGCTCTCGGTAAAGGGGAGTCTGGCTTCATTGGTAACTGTGAAAATGCCTGAGCGGAGAGCCAGGGCATGTGTGGGGATGGCAGAAGATCAGGAGCTGGAAGCTCACCTGCAGGTGCCAAAGAGAGCAGGCGGGCCAGCGAGAGAGGTAGTGCCAGCCCTGACGGGCCTGGCATGGGCAGGGTCAAGGCACTCTGCCCCAGCTCTCTTGCCGTCTGCCGACAAGGGGGCACAGAGCATCTCTGCCCTCTTCCATTGCCAAATAGGCGGGTCAGGGCATGAAGGAAGATGTCCCCTGGCCCCAAACCTACCCTCCCTGGTTTGGCTCTAGGGAGGGCATGAGTGTGTGCGTGTGTGTGCGTGCGCTTGTGGGCATGCATGGATCTGTGGGTACATATTGTCACCATGCTTTCCTGGTCAGTGTGTGTCCTTGTGCTCCTGCTCCTCAGCCATGCACCCAGTTGCCTTTCTCCTGCCGGCCTGACTTCTGGGAGAGTAAGGCCAGGCCCCCTGTGACCAGGGGTGGGGAGAGGTGCCCAGGTGTGGGATGGGGTGTGGTAGCAAAAGGAAGGGTGGCCCCAGGGAGAAGAGTCCTTTCTGTGCCAAATCCCTAAGTGCCCTTTGAGGGCCAAGTGTGCAGCATGGCAGTCTCCCTGGCTGGGGCAGGGACCCAAGAACCTGCTTCAGTCCCAGTGCCTTGTGCACTGGAACTGCCTGGGGTTCAGTGGGCTAAGGCTCAGGACTTCCTGGGTCCCCCACCTTGTGTCTCGGGACATGGTAAACCTTGGGGATAGGGGAGCAGGGGATCCCTCTGAGGACCCCGATCTCGGTACTAGGGGTTGGGGGCAGGGGAACCTTGACCTTTGCCTTCTCCTTCACCAGCCTTCAGCCTGATTCTAGCGTGTCCCCAGCTCCCCAGATGAAGCCTGCAAGGGCTGGTGGAAGGGTTAGGAGGGTGGATTCTAGATTCTCTTCTATCTTTGCTTTTCTTCTTTTCTTTTACCCCTTTCCTCCTCCCAGTCTCCTTGGGTAGGACACGAATTAAGCTGGTGCCTTGGATTCTCTGTGCCTGTTTAAGCCAGAGGCGTCAGCCTAGGTTTTGCTTGGAGATCCCTTTGTCTTGGAGGTGACTAGAGAGAGTCCCCAGAGGACAGAGGGTCCCCAGAATTGCTAGGTGTGGGGGATGGAAGGGTCTGGTGGCTCTCTGGCCCTAGCTCACGGCGCCTTCTGACCCTAGTCCCCTGCAGGGGGCTGGTTTCTGACTAGGTACTGCCTGCCTTGAGGCAGGAGGGGTCTTCCTGCATTACTCAATGGGGCACCAGACACTTCATTTGTCCAGGCAGAAGGAGAGGGAACTAGTTGGTCCAAACAGAAAGCCCCCTGCTCTCTGGCTAGGAGGGGACTTCGGGGCACCCCTTGGCTTTGGGGGACTTATCTTTGCTTCTCGCCAGGTGAGAGGGGCTTGTCCACACCTGGCTCCCTGTACCACAGTGCCAGCCATGCCCTTCTCCTGGGCTACCATGGCCCTCTTCCTCACCACTAGGTGGGAGGCTGGGGGGGGGGAGCAGAGGAGGGGAGGCCCATGGACTTTGGTTTTATAATGTAACCACTGTGGGAGGTAGGAGGGGGGGAGGATGTACCATGTATTTCAGTGAAATATTTAATATATTTAAATATCAATAAAATCAACCTCTTTGTAAAATTCTCTGTTCTCTGCGACCGTCCTGGGCCTCTAGCGGGGTCAGAAATGGGCCTTTCTTGTCTGTCGCCAGAGGGCTGGCTCCCCTGGGTTCCCTCCTGCCAAGGCACAGCTATAGTATCTTCACAGAGTGAAGATACTCGGTCCTACAGTCTCATGAAGTCCCCTTGTCACGAGTGACGTCTCGACCTCCCTGGGAGGGGCCTTCCTGGTGTGCAGACTCCTCCCAAGCCATTCACAGGGAGGAGGTCTGGCTCCCCCAGTAACCTCTCCCTCCTGCTCTCCCAGGAATGGCCCGCCA